CCTACCAGGCCGCAGCTGTCCAGGGCAGCCCATCAAGGTGACCCACCAGGCCCTAGGGAGGCCCATCCAGGTCAGCCGACACAGGGCAGCCATGAGGAGCAGGTCCCCTCTGAGCATGCCCACTGGCAGGCCCCCGCCCACCCAGCTGCCCTCCCTCTGCCCAGGCCCACCTCCTCCTGGCTCCTTCCCCAGGGGCTAGTTACCCCGACCCGTCTGCTCCTGAAACCCTGGCCTGTGACAGGACATCATGCTCTGTCTTACTCCCTACATGGGTCTGGGGTAGGCCCATCAGTGGCCTGCTGGCCACTGGGTAGAAACCGCCCTCAGATCGAAGTCAGGGTAGGACAAGATTTGGGGAGGTGGGAGGCGAGGAAAAGGTGACTGGGTGCCGCTGTTGGGGTAGAGCCAGAAATCAGGACCTAAATACACAGGTGAGCAGCAAGAGACCAGGCAGGCAGGCCTGTGCCCCAGTGTGGGACTGCACAAAGGGGCCGTGCTGCTCCGCCAGGACGGGTACCTAGGGAAGGGGCTGGTCTGTCCTGCTTTCTGCTGGACCGCGAGGCCTGGCACAGCCTGAGCTAGAGACTGACTCATCTTGGGGTGTGGGGGAAAGCCATGACAAGGGGCATCTCAGAAATGCCCAAACCTGTCAAAAGAGAAGGCAGTTGCTGTGGGCTTCCTGACAAGGAGGAAGCCACTGTGGAGAACAGGTCCTAGGGTAGAACTGGGGAAAAAGGTCCCAGCAGGGGAGACACAGGCACTGTGCCTTCCCCACGTCTGCCTCCCAGCCATCACGTGTCTTGTCCTGCGGTGACCAGCACAGGATTTCTAAGCCAAAAAAGAACCAGCTGTGTCCTCACTTGGGGGAGCAACCAGGGTACTGGGACAGGATTTGGGGAAGCTCAGGAACATGGGTGACAGAGCTGCAGAGGGGAAGGGAAGAGGGTGAGTGTGAAGCCTGGGCAGAGGAAGGCCCAGAAGGAAATGTCACGAGCACAGGCCGCAAGCAGCTGTCTCACCTTGTCCCACAGAGACTGCAGCTCTTCCTGCCCCCCCAAGTCCCAGAAGACCAGGCGGGCCTTTCCCACGTCCACAGTGCCGACTGCAGGGAGAAGAAACGGGGAGGCTGTGGCCTTGGTCCGGGCAGGGACATGCCACTCTGGGGCTCCTGGGCCTCAGGGACAGCAGGAGTTGGAGCAGGGCTCACACACAGGGCTCTGGCCACCTGCCCGCTGGCCTGCGGGCGTCACAGCATGCTCAGCGGTCTGCCCCCAAAACCCGCAGCCTAAAGGAACCCCTTACTGTTCAGACCCACGGTGGTAGTGATTTTGGATAGACTCATCCCCTTGTAGTTCTTGTTAAACCGGGTTTTTGACTGCTCCAAGAAGGTCTGAGAAGAGAGGGAGAGGCAGGCGTTAGATGAGGCCTGGAGTAGCTCCCACGCTTCCTAAATATCCCTCTCTGGGCCTATTCCTTTAAAGCAAAGCAAAACAATGTTTTGCCTTCAAAGTAGCTGGTACGACTGTCCCATGGTCTTAAACGGGTTTCGGGTTCTCCCTGGGCGGTGAACACGCAGCTAAAGGTGTGAAACCAAGACGACTTAGGCGGGGGGTTTCTGACGCGGAACAAGCACGAACCGTCTTTCCGGCATTGTCCAGGCCCAGGATCAGGATGCAGTACTCGTCCTTCTGAAACATGTACTTGTACAGGCCTGACAGCAGCGTGTACATCCTGCCCTGGGCACCGAGAGACCAGTCACGGGGCAACCCACACCCCGCCTCCCACCGCTCCCCGCAGGGAACGCGCGCCGGGCAGCCCTGGAGCCGGGGTGCCATCCTGACTCCCCTCCAGCCCGGCGCCCGGTCCCCTTCGTCCCACGATTCCCCCCAGGGGCCTACCAGCGCTCCACACCGCTCCCGGGATTCCTCCCACTCCTGGCCTCTCCAAGGCTCCCTGCTTCGGAGCGGACCAGGTCCTGTCCTGCTGCCAGGCCGGGCCCAGGCCCGCCGGGGCTCCCGTGCCCTCCGCCCGCCCCGAAGGCGCCCGCGGCCGGCGCACGGCAGGTGCCCGGGGCGTCCAGGGGCCACCGCGCGGTAGAGAGCAGGTCGGCGGCGCGCCCCGGAGGCCGGACGCCGCCAACCTCGGCCTAGCTAGCCCTCCCGGGCCGCCAAGCCGTCGCGCACCTGACCCCGCCGCCCGTCGACCCCGCGCTGACCTCACGCTGACCTCACGCGGCGCCCGACGGGACGCGAGCAGGCCGCCCGGGGAAGACGGAGCTGTCCCGGCGGCCCCTGCGCGCCGCGCCCCGGAGGCCCCCGCGCCAGGCACTTCCGGCGGCGGCTCTCGGGAGGAAGTGCCTACGGGCTGCGAGAGCGGAAGCGGGTCCTGCCCCTCTAGCCGGTGAGACCGGCGGGCTTCCCGTGGCGGCGGCCGGGCTTCAGCGCGGAGGGACCAGGCAGGGGGCGAGGGGGCGCGATCTGGGGCGACGGGGCACGGCCCGAGGTGACAGGTCGAGCGGAGGCGGGCGGGGGCGCAGGGCGCGGAGGGGTCTGGGCTGGAGGCGTCGGGGGGCGGGCGCCCCCCGCGCAGGCCTGTTCGCGAGAACCCGGGGAAGCCTGATCCCTCACGCCGGCGGCCGGGAGGGGAGCGGAGGCCGGAGCACGGCTGCCTCGGGTCCGGTCCTGACCCCTCCGGCGGAGCGGATCGCCTTTCCCAATCTGTTCTCTGAACGGAGCCAAGAACCGCACCGGGGCGAAAGGCGGCTTTTGTGGGTCCACCGAGCGCGCGGTCGGCTGGGGACTGGACGTGAGC